GTCAATATACGTGGTGGTTCCCCAACTCATTACGGGGTAATCATAAAGTTTTTGGAAAAAAACATTTAGGTGCTCCGGGGCGCCAGATCCATGGGCTATAACATTCAAAAAATTGAGAATTTTGGGTAATTCCCAAAAAAGGGCCTATAAATGTGAAAATAGATGTTCAAAATATGGTGTGAGTATTCATGGTGGTTCCCAACTCATTCGGAAGTCCTCATAAATTTTTTTAGAAAAACTTTTTGGGTTCTCTAGGGCACCAAATCCATGGGCTATAACACACGAAAAATCTCAGATTTTGGGTAATTTCTAAAAAAAAAATGGGTCTGTAAATGCGGATATAGGCATTAATAAAATTGTGTGAGTATAGATGGTGGTTTCCCAACATATTACGGAGGTCCTCATAAAAAATTTTGAGAAAAAATTGGGTGCTCTAGGGCGCCAGATCTATGGGCTATAACACACGAAAAATTAAGGATATTCTAAGAAGGGCCTGTAAATGCGAAAATAGGCGTTAAAAATGGTGTTAGTATACGCGGTGGTTCCCCAACTCATTACAGAGGTCCTCAAAAAGTTTTTTGAGGAAAAAAATCTGGGTGCTCCGGGTCGCCAGATCCATGGGCTATAACATACAAAAAAATCGAGGATTCTTGGTAATTCCTAAAAAAGAGCCTATAAATGCGAATCTGCTCATTACGGAGGTCCTAATAAAGTTTTTTGAGAAAAAAAATTTGGGTGCTCTAGGGCGCCAGATCTATAAGCCTATAACATATGAAAATTTTAGGTATTAGGTAATTCCTAAAAAAAGGTCTGTAAATGTGGAAATTGGCATTGTGTGAGTATACGTGGTGGTTCCCCAACTCTTTATGGAGGTCCTCATTAAGTTTTTTGAGAAAATGATTTTGGGTGCAACGAGGCGCAAGATCCATGGCCTATAACACTCGAAAAATCTAAGATTTAGGGTAATTCTTTAAAAAGGGTCTATAAATTCAGAAATAAGCGTTAAAAATGGTATGAGTATACGTGGTGGTTCACCAACTCATTACGTAGGTCCTCATAAAGTTTTTTGCGAAATTTTTTTTGGTGTTTCACGACGTCAGATCTTTGAGCTATAACACACGAAAAATCGAGGATTTTGGATCATTCCTAAAAAATGGCCTATAAATGCGAAAATATGCATTAAAAATGGTGTGAGTATACGTGGTGGTTTCCCAAATCACTACAGAGGTCCTCATAAAGTTTTTTGAAAAAGAGATTTTGGGTGATTCAGAGTGCCAGGTCCATGGGTTATAACACACGAAAAATCGAGGATTTTGGGTACTTTCCAAAAAAGGGTATGTAAATGCGGAAATAGACCTTAAAAATGGTGTGAGTAAACATGGTGGTTCCTCAACTCATTGTGAAGTACTGATGAAGTTTTTTGAGAAAAACAATCTGGGTTCTCTCGAACGCTAGATCCATGGGCTATAACACACATAAAATCAAGGATTTTGGATAATTCCTAAAAAGGGCCTGTAAATGCTGAAATCGACGTTAAAAAATAATGTGAGTATACGTGATTGTTCCCACAACTCATTACGGATGTCCTATAAATTTATTTGAGAAAAAAAATGTAAGTGTTTCGGGGCGCCAAATCCATAGGCTCTAGCACACGAAAAATTGAGGATTTTAGATAATTCGTAATAAAGGCCTGTAAATGTGGAAATAGGTGTTAAAAAGTGGTGTGAGTATACATGGTGGTTCCCCAACTCATTTCGGGGATCCTCATAAAGTTTTTTGAGAAAACAATTTTTAGAGCTCTGGAGCGCCAGATAATGGGCTATAACATACGAAAAATCGAGGATATTGGGTAATTCTCAAAAGAGGTCTTGTAAATGTGGAAATAGGCGTTAAAAATGGTGTGAGTATACGTGGTGGTTCCTCAAATCATTACAGAGGTCATCATAAAGTTTTTTTCGAAAAAAAATTTGGGTGCTCCGGGGCGCCAGATCCATGGGATAAAACACACAAAAAATCAAGAATTTTGAGTAATTCCTAAAAAGGGGTGTGTAAATGCGGAAATAGGCGTTAACAAAATGGCGTGAGCATACGTGGTGATTTCCCAACTCATTACGGAGGTCCTCATGAAGTTTTTTGAGAAAATAAATTTGGGTGCTCTGGGGCGCCATATCCATGGGCTATTTCACACGAAAAAATTGAGGATTTTGGGTATTTTCTAAAAAAAAAAACTTGTAAATGCGGAAATAAGCGTTAAAAAATAGTGTGAGTAGACTTGTAGTTCCCCAACTCATTACAAAGCTCCTCATAAAATTTTTTGAGAAAAAAATTTGGGTGCTCTGGGCACTGGATCCTTGAGCTAAACACAAAAAATCGAGGATTTTGGATAATTCCTAAAAAGGGCTTGTAAATGCGGAAATAGACGTTAAAAATTGTATGAGTATATGTGGTTGTTTCCCAACTCATTACGGAGGTCTTCATTAAGTTTTTTGAGAAAAAAAATTTGGGTGCTCCAGGGCCAGATCCATGGCTATAACACACGAAAAATCGAGGATTTTGGGTAACTTATAAAAAAAGACTTGTAAATTTGAAAATAGACGTTAAAAATGGTGTGAGTATACGTGATGACTTCCCAACTCATTACGGAGGTCCTTATAATGTTTTTTTTTTTTTAAAATGTGGGTGCTCCGGGCGCTAGATCCATGGGCAATAACACACGAAAAATGACGTTAAAAAATGGTGTGAGTATATATGGTGGTTCCCCAACTCATTACGGAGGTCCTCATAAAGTATTTTGAGAAAATAATTTTGGGTGCTCCGAGGCGCTAGATCCATGGGCTATAACACGAAAAATCGAGGATTTTTGGTAATTCCTAAAATAGGTCTTGTAAATGCGGAAATAGGCGTTAAAAAATGGTGTAAGTAGACGTGGCGGTTCCCCAAATCCTTACGGAGGTCCACATAAATTTTTTTGAAATTTTTTTTTGGGTGCTTTGAGGCACCAAATACATAGGTTATAACACACGAAAAATCGAAGATTTTTTATAATTCCTAAGAAAAGGGCTTGTAAATGCGAAAATAAATGTTAAAAAATGGTATGAATATATGTGATATTTTTCCAACTCATTACGGAGATTTTTATAAAAAGTAAAGAGTGTCACATAAATTGACATAAAGGAAGTATTAAAGGTGTTTATCATATGATTGCTTTAAACAATAGAAGAAGGCACAGCAAAATGATTAACAATGACCCATATGATTGCTTTAAACAATAGAAGAAGGCACAACAGAATGATTAACATTGATTCTCCACAATTTCAAATAGATTTGGAAGACTCAATTCTCATAAATTCTTTATTTAGATGGTCTCTCATAACAGGTTGCCCACTACACAGCTTCTTTACGAAAGAGGTATTACCAACAATACCATATGCCATGCTGACGGTCAAGAACCTAAAATTATGGGGTTGTTTGGTAGGCCGCATTAAAAGAAATAGTTCATGTATTATATATAGTATTATTTAGTATTACTATGTTTGGTAGAAATTAGTGCCTATGTATAACTAATACATGGATCAGCTATACATCCTATATGGTATTATAGGATGTATTACTAATACCTTCTATTTGGAGGTATTAGTAATACATAGGATATAATACCATGGGATAAGTTAATGTAAAGACAAAAATATTCCTCAAATCATTTTAATTATTTTCTTGATTTTATGTTTTATATTTTATATTTGTACTAGTAAATTTATTTAAATAAATTAGCTTACAAATTATTTAGAGAGAGTTGTTTGTTACTAAATAAATCCAATACAAATTTGAAATGTGAGTTATTTAACATTTACTAATTAAAAAGGCAAATATGTCACTACATGACGTTTGCAATCTTAATTTAATGTATTATGAACAATTTAAAAAATTAAATACATATTAAAGGGAAAATGCATAAGTACCCCCCACATATGCCCAAAATCTCAAGGACACACTTATACTATACTAAGGTCCTATTACTCTCCGAACTTATTTTATAAATAATTTTCTACCCCTTTTCGGCCTACGTGGCAGTATCTTCTGGGTCCAGCGCGTGTTGACAATTTTTTCAAGCTATCTGGTTGATAGTGCCACGTAGACCGAAAAGGGGTAGAAAATTATTTATAAAATAAGTTCGGGGTTATAGGACCTTAGTATAGTATAAGTGTCTCTGAAATTTCGACCATAGGTTGAGAGGGTACTTATGCATTTTCCCACATATTAAAGGGAAAATGCATAAGTACCCCCCCAGCCTATACCCGAAATCCCAGAGACACACCTAACCTTTACTAAGGTCCTATTATCCCCCCCCCCCCCCCCCCCCGAACTTATTTTATATGTAATATTCTACCCCTTTTTGGCCTACGTGGCACTGTCTTGTGGGCCCAGAGCATGTTGACATTTTTTTGGAGGATAGTGCCACGTAGGCCGAAAAGGGGTAGAATATTATAGATAAATTAAGTTCGGGGCGGTAATAGGACCTTAGTAAAGGTTAGGTGTGTCTCTGGGATTTCGGGCATAGGTTGGAGGGGTACTTATGCATTTTCCCCATATTAAAACTATAACTTGCATTTTTTATGTGTAAATGTAGATGGTTTATTCAATTTTATCATGGGAAAAAGGACAAATATACCCCCAAACTATCGCAAATGGTATATAAATACCCTCCGTCATACTTTTCGTTCATTAATGCCCCTGCCATCCAAAAAGCAGTGCACATTTACCCCTCACTATAATGGAAGACTTATTTGATACACGTGTCGCAATCCTACGGAGGGACCTGATTTGACCAATTAATTAAACCCGAATTTTAAAACCCACCTGATACCCCATTACCCACACAAATAACCTATCTAAAAACAAACATCTATGCTGAAATCATAGCACTAAAAACAGGTTTGAAAATAATTTACCCCCTGGTTTTTCTGTCTTCGTTTGAAAATAATTGTCCAGGTACAAGATATTCCAAGACAAATCAAGCTATGTAATTAACTGTTCTAGTATTAATGAAAATTAGTCCTTTTTCGGCCGAAAAAAGGATAGAGCTAGAACAAAATTGATCTTTGACACCAGAAAGGATGATCAGTTCTCCTCATTTGCGATCCAAGTATGAGAAGAAATAGGTGTGCTCAATAGAGGGGAGGCACTTAATGGCAGATGACGATAAGGTTTTGCAAAATAAAAGCCTTTTTGAGTTTTGTCTTGTTTTCCAGGTTCCATGCTCCCTTGTGCAATATGCTAAGTCAATATTGATGGCACGTCATGGAGTGGATGGCCTTTACTGTTTCTTTCCATAACCCTTCGAGCAAGAGAAACTTGCTTCCCAACGACAAATATGAATGCCTTTCCTTTTCCTCCAGCACCCCTGGCAGTTCTGCCAACACGACGTACATATTCACTAGGGTCTCGGGGATAATCAAAGAGGACTACATGGTCTACACCTTCAAAGTCAATACCTCGGGATGCTCTGCAACATTGTTTAGAAGACATCAGTTCAGATTTCTTGTCCCTTCTTCAAGTGAGGGAAACAGCTGAAGTGCGTCATCTAACTGACACACAAATAACTATCAATAAAAGATCAATAAAGGACTCTGCTACAGCATACCTATCAGTACACACCAAGAACAAAGAAACGTCCTCCACCTTTGAGCTACGAAACTCCTTCATGTTCGCAAGTCTGCTTTCTTGGTCCAGTGCAGCATGGAACGGTAAAATTTTTATCGCGAATCCTTTCCTATCAAAGCGCTTCAATGCGTTCTCAACTTTTCTGCAGCTATCAATCTGCATATACATGCAGGATCTAATTTGGAATGAGAAATATCCTATGTGCGACCCAAGAGCAATAAACATACTTGCAGGAGGAACTAAGTTTTATTCACCTTGTTACAGAAGACAATTGTTTTTGGAACTGGGCTACGTTCCACCAGCTGAAGTAGCGCATTCTTTTTGTTGAGAAAAGCTGTGTCCGGACTTTTTTCAGCTGTTTCATCTCCACTGCAATCTACAAGGACCTGGTAGTGCAAAAACAGACAGTATCAGTCCCATAGTTATGAAGACATGACATGACGCCATGCGTGTTTTTATGAGTATCATGGAAGAAGCCTCTCGCTGTTCAAAAAGGAAATCGCCTAGGTGTTGTTTACGGCATATGTTAGCCTAGTTCTCTTCAAGAAAAGCTGCTAATTTTTTGGGCAGGAGTCTATTACTTACACTGCCGCGAGATATTCTCAAATTTCTGTAGTTTTGTTGTTTCCATTTGAACTTTTTGTAATTGTAACATCTAAAAATTTCTAGCCATTTTCACTTGTACACATGCATATTGATATTCTTTTCTCCTAGCATGGAACAAAATTGTGAAAATTCAATATTACTAGGATATAAACTGAGAAACAATCACCTCCATAGAATGTAGGTTGCAACAAAATTGCTACCATAGTGTGAACAAAGAAAATGACAGTTTAATTGCCGAAACACAAATATTAGAAGGGTAAATCGAAGAAGAAGATAAGTATATGGGAGGAGTGATGATAAATCTAACACATCAAAAGCAACAAGTATTAGAACTTAAGATTTATAATGCTCGACCATCATGGGCTTCACACTCAACTCTTATGCAAATCCAAGTACGGAAGAGAAGTGTTGGTACTAGATATCTATTGGGATTTCCCTAGATTGTCAATGTTGGTTTACAATAGAGTATTTCAAGAAATGCAACGTATCTACTCAATAATTTGGATAATGAAAGTCAAAGTGCAAAGCATTCTTTTTCATCCACAACGAAGATAATTGTGCGAACTACATAACAACCAAAAAATCATCCAACATCACTCATGTTTTATTTGATCTCTTTTTCTTCTTTTTATTGGTATTGGCATAGGGTGCAGGAATACAAACCACCTAAACTTTCATTTCCAAGTAGTTACTTCCGTTTGTTCACTGATGGGATCATAAACCACTTTGTCTCAGTCGTAATGTTGTATGGAACGCTCCCACACCCAGGACCTAAAGTAAAAAATTAAAGAGGGGATATTTGGGTCAAACTTTATTCCTATCAGACAGGACAAACAACAAAATAGAAATGGAGAGTTCTTTCATCCCACTGATAGAAGTCAAAATAGATAAATATTCTATCAATTACTTTGAGAGGAGAATCATCCGTTTACCATAAACTGTTCTTACGATAATGAAATGTTGATAAAATAATTGACCACACCAAAAGACTTTTACTTGTCTCTTGTTCATAGACAGGAATAACAGGGCTAGTGCTCACTGCTAGCATATGAGGTTAATCATTTATATGGAAATCAAGATCTCACTTCGCTAAGGCAAGAAGAAACCCTGGAAGTAAGCGTATTAAAATAATTTACTTTGACCAAGGCAATCAAACCAGAAATCACAATTAGACATATCCTACAGCTGAAACAAGAACATTCATTTCAACTTTTCCTAGGAATCCCAAGGATTTAAATTTATATCTGGGACACCATACCTTTTTAAAGATGTTCTCATCAGCAAACTTATACAAAATATTATGGCGCAGCTTTGACAAGACAATAAAGCTACAACCTGAAACTAATTTGTGCCATTCAGTAAATTTGTAGGAGTAAAATAAGAAATACCTCTTCCAAGCCAGGGCTTGTACGGTGCATACCAGGACCAGTCACTAGTTCGCAATCAGGAAAACTTTCTATCAACTTGTTGTATATGTCCATGGGCAAAGTAGCAGTCACAAATAGATATTGTGTGATGATAGGTGACGAATTAATCAAGCATTGAAATGCAGTCTCAAAATCCTCATCATTAAAGAGGATGTCAACCTCATCCAGCACAGCACTGAACAAAGATAAACATGAAGTATTAAAACTGTATAAGTAACTGATATATCATATTTTCAGTTTCTGGTAAAGAAGTGTATCAATTTAGAAAAAGGACATGTAAAAGCACCCAAGTGTGTAGCTTAACGGTTAATGAAGCTAGATTGAACCGCGAGAGACCAGGATGCAAATCCCATTAAAGGAAAAACATTAAGTGGTTTCCATCTTATTAAGGTTTAATTGACAAAGTTACACAGTATTATTCAAAAAACACATGAAGATTAGGAAAGAGGAGCCATGCAATTTTTGGGGGGTACAAGAAAAGTTGGTAAATTAAAGGGCATCTGCAATTAAATATCATGTACCAACCATATAGATGGCAGCTTCTCCTTATATCAAAGAAAAAGAAAAAACAATAAAAGAAACAGTGGCAACTTCTTTAACTTATTAATCTTTCTTTTTCCAATACTTTTCTAGATAAAGGAACTTTTCACATCCCTATTTTCTTTAATGACCATGGTGTTCAGGACAGCTTGCACGCACCTCGACTAATTCCACGAGGTACCTGCCACTTCCCACTACCAATAGGTATTAGGTAACTCTATCCAGCAAGGCTAAGACAGATGAGAAGAAATCACCTAGTGTTTTTTGTCTCTGCTGGGATTCAAACCTTAGACCTCATGGTTTTCAATCCACTTAATTGACCACCAGGCCTTATGTTAATAGTAACAGTATACTACACCAAAACTGTGTAGTCCCCCTCAAAAGAAGGTCAGTTACAAATTGGAGCCTTACCAACCAAGATACTTACAAACTATCTAAAACATCAAAACTTTGGATTATCAATTCCTGCTTACACCAAAAATAATAGAGAGTTGAGCAATTCATCATGAACTTCTGAATATTACATTGCTTGTCCTCAAAGCATCTTCCTTTCTGTCCAAACAGATCACTAAATGCATGCAAGGAAATTCTTCCATCTCTCTTCTCGGTAAGCTGTATTTCCATCTCTATTCCAGCAGTTTGAAACATCCTTTGTTTTACCTGGCAAAACCCACTTGATTTTACTCAAGAGCAGTGTTATCAAAGGCGCGCTTAAGCCCTAAAGCGAGGCTCAAAACGTGTTGAGCGCTTCACCTCGCTTTATGTGTGCTTCAGTGTTGTCATCAAGGTTCTAAGACAAACATTTCCTTGCCAATGAGCCTCTTATGAAGAAGTGACACTAAATAATTGATATTTCACTTTATCATAATATTTTTTCAATTTCTTTGGTCATATATTTGTCATTCATATTTATAATTATTAGTCTTGGCTAAACATATATATTTGTATTCTTTTCTCCCTTTGCACCTTTTTTCATTAAAGCCCACGCTTTATTTGCGCTTAAAGCCCCCACGGACCTTAGAGCTTTTTTGCACTTTTCGCTTTTGATAACACTGCTCAAGAGTAATGAAAATCTTCCGCAGCTGATTTGTCCATTTACAGGGTTAAGAAAAATGGCTAATTTTCTCTACTTATTCATCAAAAGGTAGTATCTGGAGCTTAATTAATTCTTCTTTTCTTCAAATTTTCATGAGTCGGAACTTTTTCTTAAGCCAAGAGCCACGTGAAACAAACAACCTTGTAAGGTATTTTCACCTTCCAGATCATCTTCCATGGCCAACAACCCACCTGATTGTTGGAGGCATTAAGATCTCTGTAAGCAGAATTAACAGTGAATTTTCCTTTACCATCACACTACCAAACCAAACTGTCTTCCTCTTCCTCTTCTGTCAACATTGAACTGGACTAGGGTGTTATAGAGATCAGCAATCCTGAGATATCTTCTAAGATTGAGATTCCATCCTTGACCTGTCCACTCTTCAGCCACTATTGCTTGTTGTTGCTCACATAAAGTGTATATCTCTGGAAATAGATGCTTTAGTGCGTCCTGCCCTATCTATTTGTCATTCCAAGAAGATATTTTCATTCCATTTCCCACTTTGAAGTCTATCCTTGATTGGAAGATTGGCCATAGGTTTCTGATGGATCTCCTGATACTGCAACCGTATGGAGTTGTCACCACCTGTGTTATCTAGTTGTCATCTTCTCCATACCTAGCTTTAATAACTTTCTTCCAGAACTGGCTCTTCTGTATTGTACCTCCAAAACCATTTTGTCATTGGGTAGACCTTCTATTGTGAATCTTCATGTTCCTGACTCCTATTCCCCCATCTATCTTGCTTTTTGTCAGAATTCCCCATTTGGCTAAGTGAAACTTTTTCTTATATTCATCTTCATTGCCTTGCCAGAAGAAATTCCTCCTTAAAGTATCTATCTCTGTATTACATTATCAGGAGCAGGGAAGATAAACATCATATATGTAGGTAATGCATCAAGCACACTGTTGATCAAGGTCAATCTTCCTCCACCGGGGATGAATTGACTCTTCCAATTGGTCAACCTCTTTTCACACTTCTCTAGCATTGCATTCCATACCCCTCTTGATTTGCTCTTTTCTCCCAATGTCATGCCCAGGTAGTTAGTAGGAAGAGCTCCTATTCTTCCATTCAAAGTATCAGCAAGTATTTGGAAGCATACAAGTATACCAAAAAGTAAAAAACCTACAAAATGATAAGGTTCTCTACAAAAGACACTCAATCCTCTATACATCCCAGAACTACATGGGTGCACAGAAAAATAATGAGGGATCAGAAGCTAATCATCAACCCAGAACTTATTTTTACCCCAATTTCTCTCTTTCCAGTTGATCCACATCAACACCAAAGGAACAGCATCGAACATTCCATGCCCTGCTCTTCCTCCTGCTTCATCCAACTTTCCAAAAAAACAACAGGTCCTTCACAAATCTAGGCATCACTCAAGATATATCAAACCAGCTAAACATATCCCACCATAGTCTAGTGGTCAGGCTGTAATGTAGTAAAAGATGATCTATATCCTCACCCGCCACCTTGCATAAGTAACACAACTGATGCACACAACCTTTCTTTCCCTAAGATTTTTGGCAATCAAGATCACCCCTCTAGCAGCTAGCCATGTGAAAAAACACCTTCCTTGACCGTCAAGATCTCCATTATTTCTAAAATTAACTGAAGGAAAAAAGACTAGTATTATGATAGCAACAACACTCAAATATGCTAGCCGTTGGTGAATGGTGATTGTACAGTTTTATTTGATTTAAGACTACTACTTTTAAGCCAAAGCTCACCAGACCTTGCATAATACGCCCTCTATTTCAATTTGTTTGTCTTACTTTCCTTTTTAGTCCATTTCAAAAAAAATGCTTCTTTCCTTTTATTGGTCACTCTTTAATTCTAACTTACCACATGGCATGTATAACACGACAAGATCAAAGGGCATTTTGGTACATTCTTTACATATTTTTAATTTAAGACCACAAGATTCAAAAGTCTTTTTACTTTCTTAAACTCCGTGCCAAGTCAAAACCAAGCAAACAAATCGAAACGGAGGGAGTAAAAACAAGACAGTAAATATATCCACAACATCAACATCACTTCCTCCATCCCCCCAAGTAAAAGTGAGAATTGAACAATTGCAGTAAAGATCTTAAAATGCAAGAAATTGAAAAACGGCTTTAACTACTCAAGAAAATGTAATACTACTGAGGCAAATTAAATAGTTTTGACTATTCAAGGAAATGTTAGTACCACTTGAGGTTAGTTAACTGCAAGTAACCCTCTCTGATAAGAAACATAAACCGACCAGGAGTTGCAATAAGAACGTCTAACTCCTGTCTTAGGTTCTCCAGTTGGGTTCTCTGGCGAAAACCACCAGTAACAACCATAGAACGGAATGGAACACCAGATTTTGAGAATGAACGGCAAGTATTTAAAACCTGCAAAAGTTGCAGGAGCAGAGTAAGTTTGTTTTGTCATTTTGACAAGTAAAATACAGCTAAGCACTGAAAGTTCATACGTATTAAAAAATACAATTCAAATTTCAGCATAGTTGATGCAATAGATTGTATGATGAGGCTTTGAATTAGAAAAATCAGATTTAACAAAGGAGGGGAAGTGAAAGAACAAGCATGTGAAACAAGCAATTCACCCTTGGAACTTGGAAGAGAGATTCAAAGAAACCAAAAAATGTCAAACTACAAACACAAGATCCTTTTATCAGGCAAAAAATCAGTAAGCGCTAAACCAAACGGTGCACTAGCTGGTTGAGACAAAACATCCTCCGAAATTTCTAGCTACACATTTTGGGAAAAGGGGGACACTGACATCAAAATCATCAATTCTTGTTCAAACTGTAAAATTCTGAGTATAAACTATATAGATCTCTCAAGCAATTTGAACTGGCAAGAGAAAGTAATTGGGGGTGATAAAGCATGATGTATATTATAACCATTTGCAATTTTTCATAATCTCATGTGCTTTATCCACAAAACATTAGACTTCCAACCAATACATACTCTAATTTACAAGAATCTCTCTGAAGAACTACTATTATAACCCAGTAAGTGGAGCTGAATGAGTTAAAGATTTAACTATTAAAAGAATGAGAAGGAAGAAAAAGGTGAATAAATGACCCTCATGTTTTGTATAGAAAAGCTAAAAGTATCAAGGCTGAATCATGGGAATGGTCTATTTGAAACTAAGGAAGGAATAGCACATGTTTAGGCTCTTTAGCCTTCATACATTATGAGATTCAGGTGCTAACAAAAAATAGTTAGCCAATGACTTATTACATAACAGTAATCACTGTAATGGCAAATTGTACTTTCCCTGTACATATGGTGGAAAAGCAGCAAATGTTTTATATTGAAGATACACCATGAAAATTATAAAAATATAGCATGGGGACCTTGACTAGGAAATCAGTGCAAAATATATTTTATAGCAGTTCTCACACATCTTTGATGATTTAAGTGAAGTTGGAAAATATCACACACGTTAAGGTATCTGCTAGTAATTGACTGTGCTTCTTTTTCTCTTTCCATTTTCTCTTTTTCTCGTTGTGGTTAGCAGAGGGTTGGGGGATAAAAGTGGCAAATGTTCATTAGTGAAAGAGGAAATTTGACAGACCTGAGAAGCCAATTCAGCTGTTGGTGCCAATATTACAACACGAGGACTTTGAGGTGACGGTTTGCTAAGTCCTTGAAGTTCTTCTTGCCTAAGACGTTGAATAAGTGGTAGTAGATAAGCCAAAGTCTTTCCAGATCCACTTTGATCAGATATTATGCAGCTCTTTCCAGCCATGATGGGTTCAAATGTCATAGACTGCAAGTAGTCTATAATTACTCCTTGTAGGAAGCATCAACAGAGATTTCTCAAAATAAAACATGGGGGAGCCATCTAAAAGCAGATGACAGACTGCAACACGAAAAAATACTTAAAGCTGGAATTACTGGACCGGATTTTGACGGAAATGATGCTTCACAGGAATCATTACATGAAATCACGAATAGCTTGAAAGCATGCAGATGAAATATTTTAAAAGCAGTCTATTCAATGGCCATGTACTAGTTCATTGAAGCAGAGGTAAAGATACCAAGATAGATATATTGATGAGGCAGTAAGCTATAAACCTCTGTAGCACTTTCTTTTTACTTTTTTTCATCTATAATACCTTACCATTACCAAAAATAAATTGATGATGCAGACCATATTATCATATACACGAGATTGTTGGCATTCTAACCTCTATTATGCATCAGAACTGCAGCAAATCAATGAGGTAGACTGGAACATTGACTATTCAATGCAGGAAATCTTTGTTGCTCGGACTCTTCAAAGCACTACTTTTGGAGGATCCAATACGCACCCATCAGCATTTTTGAAGAGTCCGAGCAATATAGCTGGAAATAAAATAAATTATCTACCTGAATATGTGAAGGGCGCACAAAATGCTGATTCCTTAAGGCTTCTATCATATAGTCACTGCATCCCATATCCTGAAAGGATTTTCTACTAAAGAAATTGTTCCGATCATCCAAGTTTTGCCTTCCTCTGGAAATTTCTTCCCCCATAGATCTGTGATGAATTGATTGCCCTCCGTCCCATCCACGCAAGGAAGAAGCAGAAGCTTTTGATCCAGAATCAACTAATCGAGCAGATTCTGCATCAAATTCACCATTATAGCCTTCATCTTCCATTCTGATTGTTTTTGGGGAATTTTTTCTGGATTCTAGCTGTTGAATTTTGGCAAGAGCTCGAGCACTGAGCTTTTGTTTCTCTTTTAACTGATCAGGTTCACCATATGAACTTGTTGATGATTGAGAAGAGGTATTTCTAACATTGTGTTCATCGTGTTCAATAACATCACGTTCTTTGTTTTTTGTGTAGCTTTTTCTAACTAGATCTCTCATTCTTCGAAATTTCAGTCTGCCAAAGTTCCCTGTTGATCCCCTATTAGAAGCTGCAGAACGGTAACACAGAACATCTCAAGGAAAACCTTAGAAAATAATTGCCAAGCACATTTGCAGATTTACTAGAGGGATACAACATATCTGATTATTCTTTTGTCTTAGAAACACTGAAACAGAAAGCAATACACATCCGGAACATTGTGGAAATTTCAATCTTTCAATTCTCATGTTATAATCAGTTGGTGAATGTACACTATCTAACAACATGGCTTGGCAAGTACCTAATAAATTAAATTATATACGTTTTTCTTTTCAATTGATAATTTAAACATGATAAATAAGTTACAATCTTATGAACATTGAACTCAATACTTCTCTCTATAAGAGGATAACTAACGGGAGTAAACAAATAAACAAGGGGAAAATTGTTGCATATACACTGTAAACAGCACCACACATTCCTTTCCTCTATACTTCATAGCTCATTTTGGAAACTACAAACTAAATACGCGTAAACTTCAGATTCTCCCCAAGTAGAAAACAGACTGAAACAAATAAAACAACCCAGTTCTTTTTTGTTTCATTTTCCCCTTCGGATAGCTCATCTTGGCAAGTACACAACACATTTCACAAGAAAAATCTCAATACAGAGATCCAAGTAGCATCACATACCCAAATAATAGTTCATTTTGGATAGTACAATTCAAAATTTAACAGACCCTAAAATCAAAGGTTGTGCTTCAATTAATACTATATAAAAAAATCAGCATAGTAAGATATTATCAACAAGCCAGAACACTTTCCGTTACCTTGATTGATAGTGCTGTCGTTGTTGTTGTTGTTGTTGGGAGAAGGGAGAGGTTTCCAAGAGAGAACTTCGTTGGAAGGGATAGGAGAGTTAGAAGAGTCATCTTCAGCACCTCCCCAAACAATAAATTTCTCTCCAGTGTCTTCATCTGTGAGCTGGTAAGCCCCCGGAGTGTCCAAAGGCACACGAGAGTATGTAGCTTTGGCTGCAACCACAACCCTTTTGCAATTACTGCTTCCAACGTTTCTCTGTACAAGATTAACATTCGCAGATGGCTTTTGGAACTTGAAACATCCCACTGTCAGGGATGGTGGTCTTGGTGCAGCAAGCATTGTGGTTCAATTTGGGAAGAAGCAATTGACAAAGCAACGCAATGTATAGGATGAATGTTTTTTTTTTTTTTTGTGTGGATAATTGCAACTTAAAATATAGAGTTTAAAATTAATAAACCTACAAGAAAAAAATTGCACTAAATAGAATAAAGAAATATTTTTATTTTTTTGAGGGATTAAATTATGGGAAAGTTACATAAATATACTATAAATAAAAAATATTTACCATTTATAGCAATAACTTTTTTTTTTCACTTGATCAATTTTAATACATTTATAATACAGTTTTAATACATATTACAAAGAATAATTTATTATTCACATATAATACAAGTTTTATTAATAGATAATAAATTTATCACACATTTTAATATACTTATAATACAATGTGTCAACTTCTTACCAAACAAACATAATATATTTTTAAAAACAGTTATAATACATATATATTGCATATTTAATTCACTTTTAATACATATTGCAGATTTAACATAGTATTGTTATGTATTGCTATAAATGATAATAAATAAAAATTATCGCTAAAATCAGTAATTATTTATTAAAAGGCACTCATCCAAGTATTTATTATTATTATTAATGAAACCTCTATTTACGGAGGAAAGGAAAACTAACTTGATTAAAAATAACTAACCTAAGTTTTTCTCCAAAGAAATAAAGAAATAGGCATTCATAATAATATAAAAATATAGGTTTATAACATCTTTCCCTATGATGTTTACTAGATAAATAATGAGACTTGGTGAACAAAGTACTTATATTATCACTCGAATGGATCTATTATACATTAATATCGCCAAAGTTTTAAAGAGTTGTGTGTGGAAAAAAAATTGATGAAATGTGTTTTGTTCTATTTCTTTTTATGAATTTTATTGGGATATGCATGTTGCATTATCGCAGAATAAGATTGTAGTTATTTTATCACATTTCAAGCCACACATGTTTATTGTCTCCCTAGTAAATAGTCATTTTTCTTCTATTTGACCTTCATCATAGTTTCTGTGCTATTTATGATCTGTGAGGATGGGTGACACTATTCCAAAAGTAATCTAATACATTTGGAGAAGATAATCAATTTTAGAAGTTTAGAATTAAAAAAAATTGACCAAATCCAACATTTTAGGTTAACAGGATCAGATCTGAATTTGATGATTCCATTAGGGTCGGAGGTAATTTATGACTTAGATTGATGGCTTATGTGGATATCAAGGTGCTCGAGAGAAATTTGGGTTATTGATTGGATTCTAGGTCATTTTAAAAATCTCAGTTGATTGTGGTCAACATTTGGTCAAGATGATCTCAAATCGATGATCTGATGATTCCATAAATTTTAGAATGCGTTTGTTTTCACTATTGGTTTGTGTTTTGGAGGGGTCTTAATAAGTTTCTGGTGGTTGAATGAGTTTTGGTGTGCACCAATTTTTCTGATTAAAGTACTAATGGTATTTCTTTGTGTTTATGAGAGGACCATCAAGTTCGTAAAGAATGTGTGGGTTGGTCTTCGCAATATGGTCATTGTCTTCACAAATCAGAAATATGATAGGTTGGGTGTAATGCCTCATAAGTTTCTAGCATTTAACGTACAAAGTTTACACTTGACGAGTCGACCTATCGCATTGACGTCAACCGTTAATGAGATATCAGGAGAATAATTTTAAATGGATTGTCACAACCCAATTTATCAAGTCATGATGGCACCTACTATACCCCCATCAATAGGTAAGCCTAATCTTTAGCCCGGAGTCATAAGCAACGAACTACCAAGCAGAAGTCAACAATAATAAACATAAATCTTTTAACGAAGCTAAGAAAGGGTAATCAATAGAAATGCAACCACAAGGAACCATCCCAAGACCAGACATCAATCAGTAATGGAGCATTTAATCAAAATAAGAGTACAAGGCTTTTCTAGATACTAGATAGGTACATGTTGTCTCTGAATACAATGGAAAGACTCAGCCTAGCCAAAAATAGACGAAAATCGGGAACTCCAAATGCCAGGAGCTCACCCTAATCTCCGAGACTCAATACTGCTCCGTACGACTCCAAATCAACGGTAATCTCTAGGGAGTAGAAGTGTAGTATGAGTACCAAAAATGGTACTGAGTTGGCATCGACTGACTGAGCTAAAAAATAACACAAGCATAAACAATAAGTAATAAGGAAAGCATATCATAAGCAACTAAACAAGAGATACTAAAGTAAACATGCTATAAAGAATAGAGACAGGATACAAATGGTAAGAAGTCGAGCAAAGAACACACCTGAAACACAAGCCAACATCCTATTTGCAAGCAACTATGATTCCAAGTCTGCTACCCAACGTCAAGAGGACCACAATCGCAATTCTAAAGTCAAAACCTATCGTCTAACAATAAAATAATAGCAGAGAACAGAATATAGTCAGACAATAACCTTACCAGACCTACATAAGCCCGAAAGGTACAAACAACAAACATAACCCAACCAAACCCCATAAATCGGAGGGTACAAACAACAAATAAGTATATAGGTGATAGGCAATGCATATGAATGTAGGATAAGCAGTAGAACTATCAGTGACCATCTGAAACCATAACCATAAGACTCAAGTCAACTCCCAGTCAAGCTAGCAAGTGTGACAAATCAATCCAATCCGCCCAGCCAGTCAGTCCACGCCTAGGGGCGTAAACTGCCCAGCTAGCAAGAGTGATCCAGGGGCGTGTCGACTCCGAATAGGATCTCATGCAAATCAGGGCTGCCCAACCAGATAGTAAACTCTCAGCCCAGCTAGAAAGGGTAACCCGGAGACGTAAGTAAGACCAAAAACATGCAAGAAAATGTGTCGACGTGTCGGGTAGTCAAGTGAAAACGGAGCATATCCCAAATGTCTCTAATATCTCAAGTAGGAAAAGAGCACGACCCTAATGCCTCGTAATCTCTAAAACTAGAAATCAAAGTGATCCAGGTGGTACGAATCCCGTTAAAACCAATTTATAATAGAGCAGAGTAAAATAGTGTTTTAATATGATAGATAAATATGTTAATGCATGAATCGGGATCGTACCATAAATCTGTAAGAATGAACAAAAATGCATTGCATGTCATCACTAGCATCCAAACAAGGCACTCCAATTCAAATAAATACACAGTCAACCAAACCACGCTATTAAGGCGGAGAGTACTAACCTGGGATCCAACTAGTCTCCGCACACGGACTCGGGCCCAACAATATAATCATAAACTCAATAAGGATACAACAAGCTTACCTCTAAACAACAAGTGAAGGGATCAAGAAGATAATTCAAATCAATAAAAGGGAAGCAAACTTAAGGACGACGCTCTACCCCAATTACACTACTCTAGTCCCAGACTGAGCACAACTGAACGGAGGGAAAGGATCAAGAAGATAATTATAATGAATGGTATTTTCGTCATGTATAATTTGTCACACCCCGAGCCTACACAACGGACGTGGCTGGCACTCGAGAACCATTGATGGCCCCAAGCGAACTATTAGCCTGACTTACTGACTCAACGGAAGACAATATTCATACTTATAATGATTAATAACACTTAACTTAACTGAATAATAAAATAACTGAGAATGTTTAAAGGTTAAACATTCAACTTGGCCAAAAGTGGCAACCCAAGTCGTAACAATAAGAAATGATAATGAAAAGACTCAAAGGACTAACATCTGACTGTCTATGAAGCCTCTAAAACAATTGAGATAGATGTTGGGACAACCCCACAACATCCTAATGAACTAACAAGAAAACAATGAAAATAGATCCTCCGAAATGCAAGGAGGCTCACCGACTGACTCTGAACTGCTCACTGGATCAACGGTGTGCTAAAATGTCGATCCTAGTTACCTTGTCTGCATCATAATAAGATGCGGGCCAACTGGCATCAGTACATTGAATGTACGAGTATGCGAGTTGAAATGCTAAAACAACATAGGCTTGAAAGGGAATCTGAAAGAAACACTTACCTTGGCTCTTCTCAATTCATGAATACTTAACTGAACTCATTTCAATATAAAGCAGTTTAAAACAAGTGCAATATAAAGAAAAGTTGTTTAAAAACATGATGTCAACTTTGTGTATATACAAGGATACAACATAACTTAGAAATGTATGTAAAAATACAATAAACTGATGTATATAGAAATACAATAACTTTTGTGGGAGTTTCTTTAGCCGAAAACCATCACATAAGAGCTATAATGACGATACATCGATCTACCTCACACTGCATGCGCATCCTATACCCGGCCAGAGGTATAGGATCTGAACTACTAAGTGGATCCACTAGTCTATTGTGAAAAGGGTTTATCTAAAAAGTATGACCCTTTTCTACCCACGGTGGCTACATGGTTTTATGGAGACGTGAGTTATCTGAACTCATGCTCGTCCCCAATTCGGTGCTCAATACTACTCCCAAAATATACTAGCTCTTACGTTTTTTAAAAACATACTTCTTTCTGGAATTTGAGATTAGTGCTCAAAAACTTAGCTCAAAGGCTATCTTGGAAATCAAAGTTTACCCTCTTGCTTCATTTAGAAAGTAATTACTTTTTTCTGAAAACTAGTTCGAAGGCTCTTTGGAAATCTCAGTTTCCGTTCTTATTTAAATGTGCAAACATTTTAAATCTCTTTGGAATACTTAGTCCCCATATACTTTTGAAGAAATGAACTTCAACTTTACTCTTCACTCCTTACTCAACTTGAATTTTAAGTCTTAAAACAAAGTTAAAAGCATTTGCAAAATACTTCTTGAAAAGACTCGAAGAACTTCCTAGACTTGGCTCTTGACTTTCCTTGAATTTAAATTTATGGATTCAAGGTTATGATTCATGTTTCTAGATGATTTCTAGGTGTTTAGAAGTCATTTAGAGTTGTTAGAATTAATGGAAATGTTAGTACACTTTAGAAGGACTTAAATAGGCTAAACGACGAAAACTGGTGAAAAATGATGATTTGGGCGCATCCCGAGCGCGACGCGCCAGCCCCAGCTTACTGGGGCTCAAATTTGGCGTATTGCTGGCGCGCCGCCCCAAC